GGGGTAAAATGTTAAGAATTGTGATAAATTTTACTCCATTTGTTTCAAATTAATGATCGTTTTTCAAACAAAACTCTATAATATTATATATTTAATTAGTAAAATGAATTTATATGGTTTAGTAGACGTGATATATATGACTTAATTACATTAATACATACAAAGTACATAGCCGAATATTTTGGGTGGTGTAATAATAAATAGGCCACTAATAATAACATATCTCAAAATTATCCAAATTATTTGATTTTCTTTGTACGTCAATTATCCAAACAACTACTCCACTTAACATATTTTTTGTCACACTATTATTTCTTACTATTTCTGCAAATATCATATGAATCTGAGCGATAATTTGATACAGATAATGCGCAATGTTACTAAAGAATTTAATCGCTTAATTAGAGAAACTTTCCTCAGATGGAGGAATTATTAAATTAGGAACGTCAAATTAAAAGGTTTTATTTGGTGGAGAATCTCATTGTACAAAAAGACGATAAGATTTGAATAAAGTCATGAAAATGACGTGGCGAGTACGTGCACTCGATATTCTTTAATTATATAAAATAAATTAAATCGAGGAAAATCACATGGGAGTAGTGAAAAGACAATTCTAATCCTTAGGAAAAGTCAATCCAACGGTCAATTATCACGCGTTCCGATTGAAACGTATAACCGACTTTAATTAAACTTATTTTGCGTGTTTAAGCTATTAAGCACTGTATCAAATATACATGTGTCACTGTCAAGTAAAAAAATATGTTATGGTTAGAACTTTTAAAATTAATAAAATTTGATATCTGTTTACTGATAAAACCTCCAGGCTTTGAACATTGTTGGGCTTTTATGTCGGCCCATACTACTTGACTTGTAACAAAACAAAATAATTGTATAATTATAAAAAAATGATCTCATACAATCCCAAAATATTAATAGCAACATGTAGCTTACTGGTTTATAAATAGTGTCATTTTCGTTTCATAGCTCCATTTTAAATCTATTTATATTGGTTTAACGTGGATTGAAATCAGGTAATGAGTGTGAATTATAGATGAAAAAAAAAAAATCCAAGTACAAACTTCTTTAATTCAATAAAACTATAACAACTATTCCCCTAAAACACACATTTCCTCACTCAACACGAAACCCTTCCAAATACCTTCACTATCCATCTCTATTTCAACCTCATCTTGTCCTTGATCCTCCATTGAAGCTATGTGAAGCTCATCACCATTTCCATATTCTTCTTGCTCAACTTTGATAAAAGTTTCATGGCTTGAGATCATCTCTTGCTCTTGCTCGCGATTCTCGATTTCTTGGTGCTTACGTTTCCTTAAACTCTGTAAAAGACTAGGGTTCTTAATCGTCCTCAGCAAGAAATCCATCGTCATTTCTTGCTTCGACTCGGTGACTTTCAGTTTCTCTTCCATCAAATGAAGATTAGTTTTGACGGTTTTCTGTTTTTGCCTCAGTCTCATCAGTTCTAGAGCCACTCTCTCTCTTCTCATCCCTTGGATCTCTCCTTCTAGTCCAAATCTACGTTCTTCTAGCGTCTGCGGTTGCGTTTGAGATGATGTCTTTCTTCTCTTGATGTTCTTGAGAAGATGTCTCTGTCCCCTCAGAAAATACTCATTTGCAAACTCCCATCTCTCTGTATCAATCTTCTTAAACCCCTATAAAATATTTTAAGTTCAATTATAATAGAAATCCAGAGGATCAAGACAAAAAAAAACCGAGGTTTTTCATATGATATAATTGATTGATCAAGAATGAAGAAAGTAACTCACATAGGTATTGAGCTGTCTAACAAAGCTTGAGAAATTATTGTGCTTAAAGCATCTAGGGAGGATAATTAGGGCAAAAGTCTCTGGTTCCCAAACAATAAAACTGTTGTTGTCTCTGCTCCATGAAACCATGCTGTTTGTGCTTGTATCCTCCACTATGTTGTAGGTTTTCGTTAAGAAAGGTGCTGGTCCTGTTTCTTTGAGACCCTCTAATGGAGTCGGAAGGTTATCATCCATTTTTAAACAGAAGAAAGCGTGATCAGAGAGAATGAAGAATTTGAGATTCTTTCTGTAAACAGAGATTTTTTTAGTGAAGTAGCAAGATGGAAACTTTAGGGCTCAAAGTTCATATGAAGAAGCAAGAGGAAATGAGAAGAATAGCTTTGCTGTGATGAATCTTAGGTGAAGCATGAGGATGCTTTTTATGGTGTTTACGAATATTGTGGTTATATGTTTTTATTTTGTATAACAAAAGTTTTGATTTTTAGTGTTTTTGGATAAGTCTATTTATTAACAAACTTTGTTGTGGACAAAGACGATTTGCCAGAAATGGAAATGACAGATCTTACTATCTTTAGTGGCATATAGTCATTGGAGGATGCTACTTTGTATTTTTGTCTCCTCGATCTCCAATTAAATTATAATGAAAAATCAAATATCTATAACTTGAATCGTGTCACTACAAAAATGAAAAGTTTATTGGATTATAAAATACCAAAAGAAAAATCTACAAAATTTGAACCCCACACACACACACACATATTTATATATTTCCATGAAAATTTCTTAAATCATTATATAGCAAAACAATAAACATAATAATTATATTACTCTCCAACGCTTCTATGGCTTGGCTTCGCATAGAGATTCACTTGACACGTTGTGGTGAATGCATAAAGATACGTTTCGTGGTTTGTTTTTTTTATTCCAAAGTCAGAATGATGCGATTTTTGGTGGATCCCATTGATAGATTTGTGTGGAAACACTGAGAATCCAATGACAATTTTACTATTATACCCTCTATTCGATTGAATTGGGTGAGTAGTAAAAAATCGGACCGAACCACACCAAATTAAACCGGTAGGTTTATGTATGGGAAACAAACCGGACTATCTTTCAAATTACTACAAGAAAGACGTATATAGATCATTGTATCTTCCTTGAATTATTAAATCTCCATCCACACATGTTTTAGACCTATTTAAAGAACTAAATAAGCATGAGACTCTCCACCTATTAATACATTTTTCATATTCATGACTCAATTCTTGTATTTCACATATCAGAGAACAGAGCCTTCCTCTCGACGGTGGGGAAACGGATATCACCTTCGAGCATCTCCAAAAGTTGCACCCAACATAGACCAACCTGTGACTCGGAAACTTGTTTTGGTGCAAGCTCTTAAGAGCTTGAAACATGGAGAATATAATCACAGGACTCAGAAAAAGAAATTAACTAAGTTCACACCACGTTCTGTTTTGGTGCAACCTAGCTCTTAAGTGCTACGGTACGTTTGGCGGCTCAGTTTATATAGATCGTTTAGAGAATCGCAAGGTGGAGAGATCACATTTCAAATTAAGAAGTAGTTGATACAGGTGAGAGACTCGTAAGATTTCCTCAGAAGAATCAGAAGATAAGCCGGTGACTTATCTTAGAATGTTTAGACTTGGAAGAAAAGAAGAAGACAAGAGAGAGAGTTTAGACTTTGGAAGAGAAATTGATTCTTTAATTAATTGTTTGATAAATGTTTTCTCACAGGTGCTTAAAACGCTAATAACAATTGAAGCCCATTAATAGACAGATAAACGAGGCCTTTTGCTACTTATCAGAGTCAACTCTTTCATTGCCACCAACTCTCTTCTTCCAGCGAAGTTGCAGAGCTGATTCATGAAAGGTAGATCGTGTTTCTTTTTACATTTTTTTCCTGCTTAATTAACTTGCTTTGATCTGTCTTTTGTACTCTATTGTGGTCGAATCTGCTTTAGAAGAAAACGAAGAAGAATAAAATCTTTGGATTGTTGCAAAATATTGTTTCACGAGTTTGACGCACTTGAATCATTTAGGCAAATTCTATTAACAGTTTGTTTGAATAAAAGAGGGAAAACAAAAATTTGTTCGGGAAGGTATCATCATGTCTCACTAGATCAACCAAACATTTCTTGTCGTTAGATCTTTGGATTTTCGTTCTTGTATTTTTATTCATAGAAATTTCAATTCCCTTAAATTTCCTAACCACAAGTTTCGACTCCCACAAGTTTGTACTACTTTGTTGGCTTATGTACGTTGACTGTGGAACAGGAGAGTAGTTATGGCTGAGGCATTTGTGTCGTTTGGAGTGCAGAAACTCTGGGACCTCCTTAGTCGAGAATCTGAGCGATTGCAGGGAGTTGATGAGCAAGTTGCTGGATTAAAACGTCATATGAGAACATTACAGTCACTGTTGAACGATGCATATGCCAAGAAATATGAGAGTGAAAGAGTGGGAAACTTGTTGGAAGATGTCAAAGACATTGTTGATGATGCTGAGGATATAATCGAATCCTTTCTTCTCAAAGAAATAAAAGAAAAAGGTATCAAGAAGCGCGTGAAAAGACTTTCTTGTTTCTTGGTGGATCGCCGAAGGTTTGCTACAAACATTGAAAGCATAACTGAGAGGATCTCCGAGGTGATTGCGCAATTGCAGAATTTTGGAATAATACAGAAGATAGATGGTGGTCGTTCACCGTCTCTACAAGAGAGACAAATGGTGCAAAGGGAGATCCGAGAAACATTTCCTGAGAGTTCTAAAAAGGGTCTTGTGGGGGTGAAACAGAGTGTAAATGAATTGGTTGGTCATTTGGTGGAGAATGATAACATCCAAGTGGTTTCCATATCCGGGATGGGTGGTATTGGAAAAACCACTCTAGCAAGACAAGTTTTTCATCATGCCATTGTCCGACGTCATTTTGATGGATTCGCATGGGTATGTGTTTCACAAGAGTTTACGCAGATGGATATTTGGCAAAGGATCTTGCAGGACCTTAGACCACATGATGGCGACATTAAACAGATGGATGCCCATACACTCCAGGCTAAGCTCTTTCAATTGTTGGAAACATCTAGATATTTGATTGTCCTCGATGATGTATGGAAAAACGAAGACTGTGACCGAATAAAAGCCGTGTTTCCCCAAGAAAAAGGTGAGCTATCTAATTGTATATAGTACATTACTTAAGTACTAGTCCTTATTTGTTTCATAAATGCTCTTTTAATCACTGACATGAAAGGAAATACATCTTGCAGGCTCGAAGATTGTTCTTACTTCTCGCAATGAAGGTGTTGGTTTACATGCACACCCAAAATGTTTTGCCTTTAGACCAAGAATCCTTACTCCCGAAGAAAGTTGGAACCTGTTAGAGAGCGTAGTATTCCCTAGAAGGGACGAAACTGGTACATTTTCATATAAGAATCTTATGAATCCGTAAGGCCAGAAAGCGTGTTATCACTTACGCCTTTTTATCAATTAATAATTATTCACTGAATTATCCGTGATACTTCGGTATAGACTTATATAGATATATTATTTCAAGGCTCAAATCTTATGATATATGTTATTGTTTGCAGGATTTAGTGTTGATGAAGAACTAGAAGCCATGGGTAAGAAAATGGTCACACATTGTGGAGGACTACCATTAGCCGTTAAAGTGTTGGGAGGCTTGTTAGCTAATAAGAAATATACGGTTTCGGAATGGAACAGAGTATATCAAAATATTGGAACTCAAGTCGTAGGAAATTCTGGTTTAGATGACAAAAATCTCAATTCGGTTTACCGAATATTGTCTCTGAGCTATGATGAACTGCCAACGCAGTTAAAGCATTGCTTCCTTTACCTAGCTCATTTCCCCGAAGATTTCGAGATAGATTTGGAGAAATTATTTCATTACTGGGCTGCAGAAGGAATAATAACGTCAGTTTGCAATGGAGCAACCATTCGAGAAAGTGGAGAAGACTACCTAGAAGAGCTAGTAAGGAGAAATATGGTTGTTGCTGGAAAAAGTGATGATTTGAGTTGGAAAAAGAGATGGGATTATTGTCAAATGCATGACATCATGAGAGAAGTATGTTTATCTAAAGCCAAAGAAGAGAACTTTCTTCAAGTCATCAAAGCCCCTACTTCCTCCTCTACTATTAATGCTCATACTCCTACTAGATCTCGTAGACTCGTAGTACATAGTGGTAATGCACTTGATATGATGGGAAGTGGAAACAACCAAAAAGTTAGATCTGTTTTGTGTTTTGGACTCGAGGGAAACTTGTGGAAGCAGGCAGCTCAAGGAATCCGAAGTTTACAATTACTTAGGGTGTTAGATCTGACTGGAGCCAAGTTTAAAGGAGGGAAATTACCTTCCAGCATTGGAGAGCTTATTCATTTGAGATTTTTGAGCTTATACAGGGCTCACGTAACTCATCTACCTTCTTCTCTACGGAATCTAAAGCTTCTACTCTATGTGAACTTATTCACGATCGGGACAACTCATGTGCCAAATATCTTTAAAGCGATGGTAGAGTTGAGGTACCTCTGTCTACCCTATTTTTTAGACAGTAATACAAAGTTGGAATTGGGTAATCTAGTGAACCTGGAGCACTTGTGGAATTTCCCAAAAGAGGGTAATGTCACAGACCTCCTCTGTATGACCAGGCTCAGAGCTCTCTTTGTAGCTATCGATGGCAATTGTACTTCTGAAACTCTACAGTCATCTCTCCGTGAATTAAGAAACCTGGAGACGCTTTATTTAGTTGATTGGAACCGACCCCATGAGGAGGATTTCGTTGGGGATTTCATTCATCTAAGGGATTTAAGGCTTGTCGTGCATATGCCAAGGTTGCCTGATCAATCTCGATTCCCTCCCAACCTTGCAAACATATCTCTACGTGGTTGTAGGATAGAGGAGGATCCCCTGCCGATTCTGGAAAAGTTGCTTCATTTAAAGTCGGCTGAATTATCATACGGTGCTTTCGTGGGGAGGAGAATGGTGTGTTCAAAAGGTGGATTCCCTCAATTATGTGAGCTAATATTGGTGCTAGACGAGTTGGAAGAGTGGGTTGTAGAAGAAGGGTCGATGCCATGTCTTCGTACTTTGAAGATAATGTACTGCAAAAAGTTGAAGGAGGTACCGGACGGGCTCAAGTATATAACTTCTTTAAAGAAACTGGTAATCGCAGGTATGAAGGGGTGGAAGAAGAAATTAGTACCAGGTGGGGAAAGTTACTACAAAGTCCAACACATTCCTGATGTTGAATTTGAGGACTGCGACGACGATGAATATGGAGAATAAAAAGTAGCAGGTAAATCTTGTTGATATTTCTTCATCTTATTGGTTATTTATCCTCCTTCACGTTTGGTGTGTGATAGTCACGTCGACAGTTTCAGTTATATTATACTTTTACCTTAACCTTTTTTGTTTTCGTTCTGTTTTCAGGTGAATCTTTTCAGAATCAGTACCTACTATTTGATTGTGTTTGCGAAGTCACCATGATTGTGTTCTGTTTTATTGTGTTGAGTTGTGATAAGTTGTTTTATGTTGTGTTGATGTATAAGTGTAAAACATAAGTGCTCTCTCTAACGCTACGTTTGAAATAAATTATGTGTATGGAACCATCTTTTTCTTTGATGTTGAAATAAATTATATCTATGACTTATAATACACTTATAATAAACAACACTTATAATACACCCCAAAACATGTATTAAAACCTTGTTAATGAGCTTGAATGGTTTCTCCATGGTTAAGCCCTCTTTATAAGGTTTGAGTACTACCCTCATGGCTATGCAGGATTTAATAGTCCTACTGTCCCAAGCTAAGAAACCGTAACATCAATGGGGCATATATGGTGAGCAAGAGTGATCGGCGTACCATGTAATCGTAACCCCTTTCTTCTCTAATCTTGCCAAGTTCGGAATCATTCTCGTAGTTGTCAAAAATTAAGAGTGATAAATCATCATCACAATTCTCTGCTCTGCCGAAATCAAAATATCGGAAGAAAAAACGAGAATCAATCTACTCCAACTAAGTGAAGAAGAAGAAGAAGGTGTGATATCTGTGAATGCTTTTGATTTCTCTGACTCATGAGACTGATATCGGTTCCTTGATGCCTACGTTTCCGTAGCCTCTGCAAAAAACTCAGGTTCTTAATTGTCCTCAACAACAAATCCATCATCATTTCTTGCTTCGTCTTTCATCAAATGAAGATATGACTTGACGGTTTCTTGTTTTCGTCTCAGTCTCATCAGTTCTATTACTAGAGCTACTTTCTCTCTTCTCATCCCTTGGATTTCTCCTTCTAGTTCAAATCAACATTCTTCTAGCGACTGCGTTTGCGTTTGGGTTTTTGTTTGTTGCATTTGAGATGGGGTCTTTCTTCTCTTGATGTTCTTGAGAAGATGTCTATGCCCCCTCACAAAATACTCTTTCGCAAACTCCCATCTCTCTGTATCAATCTCCTTAGACCCCTACAAAAAGAGTTAAGTTTATAATGGAAATCCAAAGAATCAAAACAAAATATGATAATTGATAGATAAAGAATGAAGAAAGTAACTCACATAAGTATTGAGCTGTCTAACAAAGCTTGAGAAATTATTGTGCTTAAAGCATCTATATAGGGAGGATAATTAGGGCAAAAGTCTCTGTTTCCCTAACAATGGAGCTGTTGTTGTCTCTGCTCCATGAAACCATGTTGTTTGTGCTTGGATCCTCTACTTTGTTGTAGGTTTTGGTTAGAAAAGGCGTTGGTTCTGTTTCTTTGAAACCCTCTAATCGAGTCGGAAGGTTATCATCCATTTTATGAACAAAAAAAAAAGTTTTATCAGAGTAAACAAGGATAAAAATAAAAGATTTTAATATTATAGAATATTTTTGGATTTCTAAATATAGAATATATATTACCCATATTTAGTGGGTAAATATAATA